CCAGCTAACATTCACCTTTTTTCGTCTTCGATTATGTTTTATGAGCTGTCCTGAGCGTTTTCTGAAAATTTCCTTGAGTCAGCATGAGATTTGATCGAGATATAAGGATTTTAATTTTTGCTAGTAACAGGCGAAAAACCGGTACTGTGGCTCTCGAACCGGTTGGTTTTCGTTTGAATCTAGCTAACTCTCTCCGATTATCTTTCATAACGAGAATAAGTCCCCCATAAGTTATAGACTATGCTGATACTCGTGCTAGTCTTTATTTTCAAACCAAATCAATTCAAGCTTATTGGATAATCTATATTTGACGAAACTTTGTGGTAATTTCATCGAAAATTAAAGTATTCGTAACTCATTCAAAATCGATCGGAACAACTCCAAACAATAAAAATACACTCTATCTTATTCACATTGTGTTATGAAGTTCATGAGACGTTTTAAGAGTCAGAATATATTGCGATTTTCAAAAAGCTTTTCTGGAACTCTCCAAAATCAGCATGGCTGATGGCCTATGCTTGTAGTTATTTTTGTGGTTGATGTCTAAAAATCAAGTGTTCGAACCTTTTATTGTCAAAGATTTCCTTAGAATTTTGAAACGAAGGATATTTACACATTTAAACTGTAAGATCCAGTAGAGTTTTAGACTGACTTCATTCTGAATGAGACCAAGGCATGAACTTGTCTTTCACAGTGTGAATGTGAGCGCATTTCAACCGCCTCTGCACATCGCCTTACTCTGAAAATAAAAGCAAAATAAACATATAGCTCTGCTTCGACCACATTTAAGTCAAGGTAAAACGATAGTTGCCAAAAACGATAGTTGCCAAAATCGATAGAGAATAGTCCGATCTATTGATATTCTTTTACCTTGAGTTAAGTGCAATGTAAAGACACCCACGTTATATTTATTGTTGTTTTCGATAACACTAAACAACAGATAATAAAGAGGTAAATAACTTTAGGATAAAACTGTTTTCTAAGAACAGGTCCAAGCATGATGCAGTAATGGTTAGAAAAAAGAATGTGGCGTTAGGAAATTTACCTCTCTTTGTTAAACCATATACTATTCTCCAACATTAGAGAAAAGCTAAATCAAATGATAAAATTATATGATTCTTATAGTTCTCATGCAATATGCATACTTCTTTCTTTTGTCAATAACAACAACGTTGGTCGGTAACATCCATGTTCATATTAATCAATCTGACAGATATCTTTTTACCTTGAGTTAAGATTAATCGAATCATAGATACATAATACATATAGATTGCGATATATCGTATGCTATACAGTACAAGGTAATAAATTTCACCGAATGATAGAAACAATCTTATATACCGATAAATTATTACTATAACGGCAAAGGCGGCAAATGAGAAAGGCAAATGAGACCATTTCTCATCCTCTAATACTTTTGAAAAAGAATTACATATCCGGAATCAACGTCAAATTCTGCATCCAATCCATAAATCTACAAAAAATACGTTATGGTATTTGCTGAAAGATAAGTTCGACTCTCACTGTCAGAAACGAGGATTTTGTTTACAAAAATATTGACTTTGAGGAAACTATTTAGTCTGATAGTCCAAGTATCCTCTTTCAGTTGCATTGACGTTTATGTCGTTAATATGTGATTTAAGCGTTTTTCACGAAAGTCTCGTGAAGTCCTAAGAAAAACTTCCTAAAAAAAAAAGGTACAAATTTCAGGGAACCAGAGGTGTACACAGACATACGCATATACGGCACATGTACAAGCATATGTTCATCAGATATCGCGTGCACAAAAGCCTCAAAGAATATACAAACAACTTCTGTATGTCACGTATTTTCGAGATTATTTCACTTTTCCAAAGCAAAAACGTTTTCTGCATGTTCTTAGAATTCTTTTCTTTTGTAGAACCATGCGTATTTCCAAATTTTGCCTACTCAGGAGGCTTCAAATTCGTCCTGCATTATAGCTAATATACCGGGTGGGCCATAAGAATGGTGGTCTCCGTATTACGCAACATCTTGCTCAATTTTCGTTGTCAAGGCTTCTACATTTTTTTCAAAGATTCATCGTTTCATTTTGTACAGAAAACATACTGAACGTCTTTTTATATACTGCAGAAATAAAAGAATATAAAATAGAATATGAAATACTGCGAAGCTTCAATTTTCATTCCTTTTAAACACAAAACACAACGAAAAGATATGACGATTGCTATGCATAAAAGTAGAATCAAAACGTATCTTCTGGTATCTCGCAGTGTCGTCTTTCTACCAAAACATTCTACCAAAAACATGGAAAATTTCCACCTTTTCGCCTTGCCAGTGGAAAAGAAATGGAACTATCGAACTTTCTCTGTTCGGATGTAACAGAAGAATTAGTTTTGTTTAAGATAAAGCAATTCAGATCTTAAAATATTTGATTCTGGTCGATTTATAAAAATTTTCTCAAATGCCACTAAAACTGCAGTTTGAAAGCGGTGATTTTTGATAAAATCGCTATAAGCAAAACCTTCTTCCGCAACGAATTGCGATTATGACGAGTTTTAAACATAGCCAATTGTTAGAAGTTTTCAACGGCTATAGACCGACTATCTTCTCTTATTCTAGTTTCTGGTATGAACTTCAGACATTGTTTAGAACCATTTCGATCTCATGAACTGGCGAAGAGTAAGTGGCATAAGTCACAGTGCAGTTTCCTAATTTGTTCAAAGAGAAAAATGTGCGATAAAATCCATCATCTCTAGTCATGTTTGAGAGTTCCCATGTCTTCATTCCCGACAATTTCCCGACGAGATCTTGTGCGGAATCCCAGTCGGGAACCATCGAGATATCGCAGGATACTAGTTTTTGTAGCGGGAGTCCGCTAAAAATGCTGAGATCGCGTTTCCCTTTTTCTGTCATTCTTTCGTCTTCTAATTGAACTCTCACTGATTTTATTAATTGTAGAAATCAAACTTTTGTAATAAACACCAATTTTATTCTAACAGAAAAAGACAAATGAATAGCTAACAGACGCTTTAAAACACAGTGCACAAAACAATAGAAAAATAGCAGAAGTACGATTACAAAATTAGTACGAGAGAAGGAAAGAGAGGTTTTTGGAGGACGATCTATATCACTATCGTCATCGTCTGTTACTATTTGTTGTGAAAGGCATCTTGACGTTGATTTTTTTGTTGCTTGGTGTGGACGTTTTTGTTGAGCAGGATTCATCGCTGCTGATTCTCGTTTTTTATTTTTCTGTTGTTGTAATTGTGGTGGTGATCGTAAGTGTCCATCATTGGAAATTATAAATCATTTGGTTATGGCAGCCATATTCTCATGGTCAAGGATAACTTGTATGAGATTTACTAACGAATAACACACAAAAATTATAATCGATAGCGAAATCTTATTCGATTGTTTAATATTGCACAGGCTAAATTCTTCCATCTCTTTATCTGTTCGTTGCAATGAACGATCCTAAAGTGAGATAAAAAAACACGATATAATATAAACACGATCGAAAAATGAATGTCTACCTTTAGTGTTGAAGTTTTTAGAATATCCGTCAAATCTGTTCGAGAATCAAAAATCAACTGTGTCATCAAACGAATCTTAAGTGGACGATACTTGTTTCGATATTCGACAGTATCCTGCAAAAAAAACCAATAAATACAAATAATGTTTGTAATTAATATTGATATACATACATCATTTTTTAGTAAATAATAATTTAATGTACGTCCATTATCTAGCCAAATACTATTTATAGGTTCTGAATTATCATTAATAAATAGACCATATTCAGATGCTAAAAGTAGAATATATTCAGATATATTATTGTGAAGAAGACATTTTGTTTTCGAAACACGTACGATCTCCACGATATAACAACGGCTCATTCATTATTCTATCTTGAATAATTCGGCATATATCGTACACAAGCATATTTGTTTCAAATTGCATTGATTTCATGATATTATAACATGATATAAGAATTTTTAAATTTATTAAAGCACTACCTACGCCATTTGTATTTTCACGACTCTTATTCCCGTTCATTACCATTATGACACTGTTATTAAACTCGAATATTTGCTGATGATAATTTAAAGACAATTTGACAATAACTAGTCAATACTAACTGATTGTTGCTGATATGTCGATTATTATGTTGCTGTTTTTGTTGATTTTTCACTTTCGTTTGGCCTTTTACAAACATAACTTCTGAAATAATAGAATAAAAATAAAGATAAAAAAACAGAAGTTTTTTAGGTAAAACTGATGATGATGAGTTATAATTTAATCCCTTAGATAT